TCACTTCACTCACGTGTGTTTGTTTACACCCGCAGCCGTGCGCAACACTGAGATTATTTTCTTTTTACGGACAATCGGCTTGAGTCTGGATTAAAAGGACTTTTATTAGTGCAGACTTGTGATGTGAGGAGGAGCCTGTGTGAGCGCTGAGTGTTGGAAATACATCAACTTTGAAGCTAGTTTAGGTTAGCGATTAGCTGCTGTAGCTCCCCCACATAAACAGGCTGCTTTCTATTGGTCTATTGTAAAGTGACTATATTGGCCGTATATTTGTTACTGGACCAGCATTGATATGTAAATGAGCTGTGAATAGACGTGTGAATGATCCACATTTCTGCATATAACTAATTACCGCGGCGCGCAGCATTTACAGCTAAAGGCTAATAGCGGTAGCTTACTTTAGTAGCTAGTAGTGATGGGTCGGTCACGAACGAAACGGGTCTTTGAAGCGAACGACGGGAGCCTGCTCCTTATTGGGAGCCGTGTTTTCTCTTATTCTCACTTTTTTCTCTTCACGTCGTGTGCAGACTGGTGGTAGTTTCTGACAGCGGCAGCGGCTCAAAATGAAACTTTCAGAAATCTACGTGTGCATAGGATAGAAAAAAAACTTGCATATTTGGCTGTAGTTCAGTATAAAATTAATAAACCAGGACTAATCTTGGGCTCGAGAGACAGAGAGAGATAGAGACCAAGTCCCGATACTCAGTCCTGGTTCAGTTCTGGTTTAGTCCTGTTTTACACATGGTTTAGATCTGTTTTAGTCCGGGTTTAGTCCTTTTTCAGTCCTAGTTTAGACCTGCTTTAGTCCTGCTACCCATCACTAGTAGCTAGAATGTGATCTACAGTCCGTAAATATGACACAAAGAGGCAGAAGAACAATAAATGTTGCTTAAATAAACCCAATTTAAAATCCACTATAGCCAAACCTAAGTTTTTTTATACAATTCAACATTTACAGTTAATTTTTTACATCACTAAATATATCGGCAGCTCCAACTACCATTATATCGGTTTCATATCGGCCACAACAAAATCCATATCGGTCGGGCTCTAGAAAATACCCATAGCGCTAAAGTATCAGAACAAAAGGGTTTAGGTTGAAGTTTAACTTATTCTGCCTAACTCAGGAAAGAATACCTGCTTCATTATAGCTTGTAAATGTGTAAATTGTTTTAGAGCCTTTTAATGTTCCACAGATCGACTTTTTAGCCTGGTCCTCACATTAGCTTTCTGAACGAGACCCGATCCTCTCAGATTGTACTTACCGTATTTTTCGGACTATAAGTCGCAGTTTTTTTCATGGTTTGGGTGTTTCCTGTGACTTATACTCCGGTGCGACTTATATATTAAAATTTTCAGACTGACAGCCGCAAGAGGCTCTAGTCTTGTGTGTCAGTATCTAGTAATACTTTTACTCTTGTACCACTGTCACTTCATACTCTACTGCGCATGTCTCCCGTAGAAATAGCCGCTGTCTTGCTGCAAATAGTGAAATATTCAGCCGAAAACAGTAACATATTTTCCAGGCTATTAGACGCACTCTTAAGCCTCCGACCCCATCAAAAAATGACAGCGCACCCCACAATCCAGAGCGCCCCATACACGAATCCACTCCCAGCTGGTGTCCCAGCACGACTTCAGTAAACTACAAAGCTGCACCACCCACAGAACACACAAACACACATGGAGCAGACAGCGACCACACAGTGAAAAACACCCACAGACACACTCATCACTCCACGCTGACGAGGAACGGAACGGAGGAACGAACCGAAAAAGCGAGTGCAATGTGCCACTTCTAGACACAATTGAACAACTGAGTCACTGCGAACACGCCGACAATCCAGCGGTCCCAGACAGCACCCTCCCTACACGCCACAACTGAACAAAGCCCAGAGTCACTGTGAACGCGACAAACAAAGTCCCACTGAACCGTCTAACTGTTTAAAGTCCGGTGCGGTTTCTTTGTGAAAAAAATTCAAAAATAGACCGTTTAATGACAATGCGTCTTATAATCCAGAGCGCCTAATAGCCCGGAAAATACGGTAATCGAGCAGCAAAAACAAAGTTTGGAGTGAGCGAGAAACTTGACTAGAGGAAAGCGGGGATAGAGAACACAGCTTCACGGCAACCGGGCGGGTGCACCATGAAACTTTCCTGGAAGTCCCTGGATGAATCGACAAATCCTGAACTTCAATGACAATCGAAACCATCCTGTCGGGATTCAGAAAGGAATAATTCTAACTGGAACTGATGCTGAGTCTGACGACAGCTACACAGAAGAGGAAGCGGTGCTCTGTTTACATCGTGGATCTATAGTTTATGTCCAGAGGTCGTGCAGAAGTGACACAGAGGATGAAGAAATTAATGGATTTAGTGATTTGGAGTGATCTAAACTAGATCTAAACCAGGACAAAAAACATGTCTAAACTAGATCTAAACCAGGTCTAAAACCAGGACTAAACCAGGACTAAACCAGGATTTAACAGGACTAAATCATGCTGCGTGGACGTGTCTCCTCCTCTTCTATCAATAATATTTTTAATTCGGTTCAGTAAAGTCTGGGCTTTTTATTTTCTTTTAGCAGACAAAACATCTTATGTTACGATATCCTAGTCTTTGCTTCTCCACAGCAAATCAAGTAATCCAAAGTATTCAGATTACGTTACTCACTTTAAGTAATTTAATGGTTTCTGTTACAAACTACATTTTTGGGGTATGTAATCTGTAATCTGTAGGGGAATACATTTTCACCTTCCCAACACTGCCTGTATTGAGGTATGTATCGAATTGTCAACTTCTTAATGATGCCCAGCCCTCCTGAGCGGGTCGCCTCTCCACAGATCTGACCCTTAACTTTGTCTGGTTTGATCTCCATGAAGATAGAAATTTGTATCTTGAGATCTTGTTCCATTCCCACAATATACAGATACTCACATCCTGATTCCTCTAGTGTCAAATATAACGGGATATAAAATGACTGGACCCAAATCCACACTGAACAGACTGTGACTCTATACAAAGCCTGTCTTTTATCACGGGTTATTTTAAGACGGCTGCTCGGCAACGGTGGCGTCAACAAAGAAGTCACAAGAACTCAATGCTCCTCTGACGGCGAGAGGTGGCTAACAAAGGTGTGTCTGGGTTAGTACACCGTTTACCCAGAACACAAGAGGGATGACAGCAGCTGGAGACTGGTCTGACCGGTCCTTCTGCTGCGTCTTTATGGAAAACCCGAGCTAGCATGACATAACACGACAGCTTCATGTGATTTACCGGCAGGCTTCACGTGAATTACGGAGATGATTGGCTATAATTAGCTGGTGTTTTGAGAGCAACTTTTTAATCTGACAGTGGCCAGTTTTACACATTTTTAATTCTGAAATAATTGTTCTGAATTAAATATTTCGGAATTAAAATATTCTCCGTCGAGTTTACATGAAAATAATAATTCAAAATTGAGGTTTACATGGAAACCATGTTAAATCGACTTTACTTAATTCTGTTGAACGTCTTTGGGGTGGGGAAGGTTCTGATTGGACAGAGACATGAACGTTTTTACATTGACCTGAATAAAACACACACTTCAGCTGCTACCGGCTTTTCTGTCATCTCGGTTTGTCGTTACACCATGGACACAAATATGATCCAAACTTTTCCCGCAGTGGTTCAGATGATAATTGCACAGCAGCTGGAGAATTGTCTCATCACACTTTACGTCTGTCAGCTGAGGAGGAGAAGGGAAGAATGTCAGAGAAGAGAGGAAGAAGACAAACTGAGTGTGAGGCTGCTCTACCTCAGCCCACTCCCACATCCCGCTCACAAATCCAAAGAGACGTGGATGAAAGTCCGAAGCCAAGACTGGTGGAGCCGGATCGTCCGGATCAGAAGGGCGACACAACGAGCATGAACTGAACGACCACAATTATTTTTAACGAGAATAAACATTTACATGATCCAGGAATAAATTAATTTGGCTTTAAAATCTGAATAAACCACTCACTTACTTTCCGAATAATCATTTTCATAAGGAATTAAGTGTTCACATGGTGTTTTTAAAGCAGAATCAATTTTTATTCAGAATTGAATTATTTTTATTTGGAATTAAAGCTCTAATGTAAACGTGGCAACTGAAATTTTTTGCCTGATTCATCAGCCGGTTTCACTTCGTGGAAGCTGTCTGACCTCGCAGTGTTAGAACTCATTAGTTCGACGGTAGGTGGGTACTTTTTATCACTGCTATTTGGTCATGACGTACGTAATGCACCGCTAACGGGGCAAACTGGTATATTAAGCTTTTCCAAAATCCCGTAAGAAGAAGGGCAATAACGTCTTTTCCCTTGATAAAATTCACCAAACATTCTCTTTCTAACGGCTTTAAATGCTTGATTTTGGGAATAGTAACACAGAATATATGGCTCTTCGCTGATTGGCTGGTGCCCAAACTCGCACTTCTGGGGTTTTTGCGAACTGTCTAGTGTATTCTGATTCTTGACCTAGTCGCTTTAGAGAAATTAAACTGAGTGGAGGCACTAGGTGGCGCCATTGTGATAAAGATTTCACACATTTTCCAACTCACAAACCTGCATATTTTGACCGAGTTCTTCTCTCAAACAGAAAACACTTAGTTGTGTGTGGTAATACAGGACGTGCTCCACTGTGTTTTTAAACTCCACACATCTTCACTAGAATCATTTGGATGATTTCAGACCTGGAATTGCCAATCTCTACTGAACTTGAAAGGTAAAATGGAGCTGTTAACTTGCAACCTGCCACTTCATGACATCACAAGTTGAAACAGAGCATTTTGAGCTTCGGAGATGTAGACAGACTGATAATAAAGGGCTACTCAAACGTGTGAACGAACCAAACCCAACTCCTGCTCCTCCTCTGTTTTTGAGGAGGTAACAAGATTATGATATGGCTCATGAGAATCCATTTGGTGTAATATTGGACCTTTATAATCCAAAACTGAACTCATGCTGTGACATTGTGCCTACCGAGCGTGGACTTGCGGAGCTGGTAGAACTCAAAGCGCTCCTGTAGGCAGCTGTAGCGTTTGGTGAGCTGTTCCTTCTGATGCTCCAGTTTGGGCTGAAGGGCCAAGTTCTGCTCGGCCAAAGTCCTGTTGTTGAGCAGCGTCTCCTCTTTGCTCTGCTGGACTTCGCGCATCTGCAGACCACAAAGACAGAGAAGGAATAATATTAATAAATATAAAACCAAAACACCAAATTACCATCTCATTTCTCTTCCCCACCCTTTCCTTCTCCTTGATTCTGCAGGAAATGGGCGAGGAAGTCCCACCCAAACAAGACACAATGTTGTTTCCTCATAAAATCATACCTGAAGATGTGTTTTGTTTCACTCCCACAGATTTAACAAATTCAACAAATCCTGCATATTTAGTTCTTCTCTTAAACTGAAAACGCTTTTAAACTCCATACACTTTCACTAGAATTCTGTAGACTATTTCAGATCTGGAATTGCTAATCTCTCTTGAACACTGTTGGGCAAGTTACATTAAAACTGTAATGTGTTGTTTATGACTTGTTACTGTCATTTCAAAGTGATTCATTACATTGCAATATTACTGTGTTTAAAATATAAAACATTACATTACTACTGCAGCACTTTTAAGTTACTCTCACCAAAATAACTGTGAAGATGCTGAACTTTTGCGCCGTATATGGACTGAACCAGGACTAAACCAGGACTCTAAACCAGGAACCAGGACTCAACCAGGAACCAGGACTAAACCAAAACCAGGAAGGTCTAAACCAGGTCTAGAACTTGGAACACAATCGGGCGTCAGCTGTGGTTCGCCTCGTGGAGTGTGGAGTTCTGTGTTGGTCCTTTCGCTCGTGGTCACCTGATGGTCTACACGGGCGCGTCTCCAGCGTTTCATCGCTGCTGATATCGCGGTGATTTTAGCAAATTTGTATGAAGAAAAACCCACCATTTTAATCCAGGTTAAAAAAGCATTGTGCCGCGCGTTACTCACATTTGTACCCAGTAAAATATTACATTTTTTTCCCCTGTAATGCCACATTACTGCATTACAACAAAAAGCAACACATTACAGTAATTTGTTACTTTTAGAACACGTTACTCCCAACACTGCTCTTGAACTAAAGGTAAAAGGATTGAAAACCACTGCTTCATGACATCACAAGGTGAAACAGAGCATTTTGAGCTTTGGAGATGTAGACAGACTAATAATAAAGGATTACTCAAACACGTGTGAGTGAAACAAAAAGACAACTCCAGGTCTGTTATTAACGAAGTAACAACATTATAACATGACTAAAAGCTCACGTGAGTTGATTTTGAGTCATATAAGTCCTTTAATCCATAATAGTTTTAGTCAACCAGAAAATATAGTAACACCATTGCTTCACGGGACATGTCCACACATGTTCTACAGTTTGTTTATGGTCAGTTTTTTAATCCGAGATTGAAAATGCAACTTGGATCTGTCTCCACTTTTTCCTTTCATTCTTGCACGTTTAGTTTTTACTGTCCGACAAAAAATATCTGTACTTTTGATTGACTGAAATATCTACGTTTAGTCGTAGCTTTAAAAGGAGGAAAATGGGTCAAATTTTTATCATTTTTACGTTGTTATTATTTTGTTTTAGTCAGCAAAAATATGACATTAATGAAAACCACGACTGAAATATTTTAGTCTACGAAATTCACAGCTCTGTACGAGGAGCTGATAGCCTGATTCATCAGCCGGTTTCGTTCCCTTGACAGTAGGCCAATCGCTGCTATTTGGTCATGACTTAGGTAATGCGCCACTAACGGGGCTAACTGGTATATTAAGCTTATCCCAAATCCCGTAAGAAGAAGGACAATAACGTCTTTCCCCTTGTTAAAATTCACCAAACATTCTCTTTGTTCCGGATTTAAATCCTTCATCTCAGGAATTGTTGCCAACACAGAATGTACGGCTCTCCACTGATTAGTTGGTGCCCAGACTCGAACTTCCAGGGTTTTTGCCAACCGTCTAGTGTACCGTATTTTCCGGGCTATTAGGCGCGCTCTTAAGCCTCCAACCACATCAAAAAAAGATTGCATGCCCCACAATCCAGAGCGCCCTATACACGAATCCACTCGGGTGTCCCAGCACGACTTCAGTAAACTACAAAGCCGCACCACCCGCAGAACACACAAACACACACGGAGCAGACAGAGACCACACAGCGAAAAACACCCACAGACACACTCATCACTCCACACCGACGAGGAACGGAACGGAGGAACGAACCGAAAAAGCGAGTGCAATGTGCCACTTCTAGACACAACTGAACAACTGAGTCACTGCGAACACGCCGACAATCCGTTGGTCCCAGACAGCACCCTCCCTACACCCCACAACTGAACAAAGCCCAGAGTCACTGTAAACGTGACAAACAAACAAAACCACTCACCCATCACACTGTTGTGTTTCCTTTAAAGTCCAGTGCGGTTTATTTGTGAAAAAAAATTTGAAAATAGACCATTTAATGACAGTGCATCTTATAATCCAGAGCACCTCATAGCCCGAAAAATACGGTATTTTGATTCCTGATCTAGTCGCTGGAGAGAAATGAAACTGAGAGGAGGCACTAGGTGGCACCAGCCTGGCTTAGGAGCTGAGTGATATGGCTTAAAAATAAAATCTTGTTTTTCACACTCGATGATTACGACTATAAATCAATTTCAAAGTGGGAAGCTCTTTACATTTTCAGTCTTATCATATCTTATTAAAGAAATTTAAACAGCCCTTTAATTACAGTTTTAAAGATATGGAACTACCACATATTCAAAGAACCTCCTCTGCACCATACATTCACTGTCCTCCTCATGTGTTTTGACATTTCAGCAGGTTTAACTCTCCTCCTCACATGAGTCATTTAACAGGTCCAGCCTCCTTCACGCTGTCAGGACGGGAATAGAAGAGAGTGGGGGGTTTTGAGGCGCAAATGAACAGAAAATCAACATAATATTGAAGAAATATGGGCTCAATAACAAGAGACGCAGAAACTGTTTTTGAAGCAACTGAACAGAATTTTGGTGACAGTTATTAAAAATGTTGCTAAAATTTGCCACCAATATTTAAAAATCGCATCAAAGTGCCACATGCTGTTGGTCCTTCCTACGAATGTTATTGTTTTTGCTTTGTTTAGAATGTTTCACAGTATCTTTCCATCTTCACGGAGACCAAACCAGACCAAGTTACAGGTCAGATCTGCGGAGAGGCGACTCCGCTCACAGCCAGAATGTCTGTTTTTCTAGGTATTTTTGAACTGTAAAACCACCTGTAACTGAATAAATGTAAAGTAGAGCTGCTTAATGTCACACTGTGGAACATTCCAAGTAGAGCAAAGACATATTCGTAGACACAAGCAGGTTACGGCCTCTCCAGCACAAAAGTTACACAATGCAGCCTTAAGGGTAGGAATTTAAGGTTAAGGTACACTATATTGTCCACTGCATTTGACCCATCCATTTGTGCCAGAATGACTAAGCAACGCTGCCGAATCCTACATGTATCAGCCATTATGAAAACAAAAACAAAGTAAGTACAAGAGAACAGTGGGCGTGTCCCGGTGGTGGTGAAAATGGAGGTAGATCAGAGCGATGACATGTTGAATAAAGGACAATAAAGATTACTCAAACATGTATGAATCATTCACTCTAAATACAACTTGGAGAAGGTAAATGAGAAGGTGAAAGAACTTTAACATGGCTGATGATGACAAACAAGGCTGGTTCAGTTCCTGCTGGGGAAATGTTTGAATATACAAATATAAAAAAGGTCCATTTTACTTTGAGAATAGAAGTAAAGAGATTAACAATGCACAGTTAGAGGTCACTCCCTTCTGTACAATTGTGTTTTGATTTTTTTATGTTTCTTATTGAAATGATGAGAATGTGCACTAAGAAGCAGTGGTGAATGAAGTACTCAATTTTGTTACTTAAAAGTACAGATACAAAAGGTAAAAATTTACTCAAGAGTAAAAAAAAAAAAGAAAAAAAGCACAAGTATCACATGAAAAAAATTTACCGTACTTAAGTAAAAGTATTAAAGTACCTGTTTAAAAATGTACTTTAAAAAGGTAAAAACTAAAAGCATTTCTAGAACAATTAAAAGATGAAATCTAAAAAGATTTTATCAGATTTTAAGTGATTCAGTTTTGATTTCTTAATTGTTTCTAGCTGCTTTTGTGTATTTGGTTTGCTCAAAGTTGGAACATTAAAACAAAATAAATGCGCTAAAAAATAAAGTCCCCGCCATTTCAGCAGGTCTCAAACGATAAACAAAAGTACTTTTTACATTTCAGTCCAGATGTAAAATGTAGTGGAGTAGAAAGTACAGCCATCTGCTCTCAAATGTAGTGAAGTAAAAGTAAAAAGTATCCACTGTAACATTTACTTAAGTACAGATACCTAAAAATTGTATTGTGTATTGTGCTTTTACTTTTGTACTTTGTTATCTTCCACTACTGCTAAGAAAAAATGGTCAAAAGAAGGGATGCACCAATCCAGCTTATTCAGTTCCAATACCAATTTCGATACTACTACTACTGGATTATTTTTTATCCGCACAGTGGATGTGTGCAGCCTGAGTGCGGAAAACGCCGCTGTCTGTGTGGTGAACATGAAGCTGCAGCACTACCGAGCGCTCTCGTCAGCACTAAAACAGTTTCTCTCTGTGTGATAAAATAAGTTCTGGTGCTAAATGAACATTAGTGAGTGGGATATGTTTTAATGATCCGTATTGGTGGTTTTCAGATTCTAGTATGTGATGATTAGGGCCGAGTATCATTAAGAAGTTGCCGATACGATACATACCTCAATACAGTGAGCTTTTGATTCAATATGATATATTTCAAATCGATTCGATATGGTTCAATAAAAATACTGAGTGCAACAGTTGCCCGCTCGTGCTTTACTGACACTGCAGGTTTAGACCTGGTTTAGATCTGCTTTAGTCCTGGTTTAGTCCTGGTTTATTTATTTTATGCTCAACTACAGCCAATATGAACAAATTTCTATCATATGCACACACATATTTCTGAAAGTTTTTCGTAGGCTACTCGGTAGTAAGTAAATATGATTACAATTGCTACAATATGTGTTAGATACACATTTTCTTATGTTTTTATTGAGGTTCTTATTCATGT